GTGGGAAGAGACTGCCCATCTTTCTTCCAAAGAGCAGCTGGTGGATTTGAACCACTGTCTTTGGGTTGGCAACTCAGCTCCTTACCAGTAGGCCAACAGAGCTCCCTTTCATGTCATTACAGTGTCTAAATTATTTGCTTTGTTTTTTATTTACAGGCTAGACATGTGGCACCTAGTGATACAGTTCTCATGTTTAATGTGGCCTTGGTGCTGCAAAGATTAGCTACCTCTGTCCTGAAAGATGAAAAGAGTAATCTGAAGGAAGTACTCAATGCTGTGAAAGAACTGGAGCTTGCACATAGGTAAAAATTGCATAGAAACCACTTTTGAAATACTTGGGTTTCTTTAATCTCTTTTTCCTCCCTATTTTTTTTTTAATTGTGGATTTTCATTCATCCATTGTTGCACATTTTCCTCCCTACCCACCCCCAGTTCACTTTAAAAAAAAAAATTCATTGTTGCATAATTTCCTCCCTGCCTCCATTCCTCCCCCAGTCAGCTTTGCTATGCACCTCTTATTCTGGACTGTTGTCATACAAACAATGCTTAATCATATATTTCTTTAAACAGTTCTTTCCTTCATCTATGCCATCTTTCAAAAGGCATCCTTTCTCTCAAAAGATGATTTAGAAAATTCATCACAGCCAAGCCGACTGTTGCCACCAGGTGGCGCCAGATCTCATCTAGAAACCTGGCCCTGCTTGGGTCACTTGGCCAAACTCCTAGAACTGTCTGCCTTTGCAAGCTTACCCTAGATTTGTCATTGGCAGTAATATGACCCACCATTCTACATATGAAATATTTAGACTCCACTTACGTTTAGATTTTACTTGTTAACATGGGTGTGATTTTAGAGATTTATTTAACTGTTAGACTAAAAGATTGGTGGCTTAAACCAGCTGAGAAGCACCATGGAATATAGGGTTGATAGTCGGCTTCCAAAAGGTCACAGCCTTGTGAACCCAGCGGAGCAATTCTCGTGTACACATTGAGTCACCATGAGCAGAATCCACGGAACAGGCAATGACAATTCTGCTGACTTAGGGTTGAGGTCAACTTTTAAAAAAAAATCCTTTTTTTTTTTTTTACTTTTAAATAAACTTACTTGTTTATTCAGTTCAGCTAAAAATTTAACCTTTTGATGCTTAGTTTCTTACTAAGTATGTAATAGGTTTTGTTTAACTTGCATTTAGTTGTTTTTGATTAAACATTCCTCTTATGTGATAGGTTGTGTTTTTGTGGATTAAGTCTCTTATCTCCATGTAAAATATTTAATAAATTTAGTGTTTAGTAAATATTTCTTTCTTGAAGTGTGTGTATGTGTGTGTTTGTGTTTACTGATAACATTAAATGAAACTTTGCTTGTTTTGATCGGTTGGTCTCTAGTAAATGTTTTTTAAGGATTTATTGATAAAAAAGTCTCTTAATAGTGAATTGCATATATATAAATTTTCCTCTGAGATGTTAATCCTTTATGTATTAAACATATTTATGTGGGATAGCCAGTGCTTTTACAGAACAAGTTGAAAAATCTAAAGGGCCTTATTATACTGGAAATGGTTTTTAAAAGTACTTTATTTTCTCATTCCATTTAGATACTTCAGTTATTTAAGTAAAGTGGGAGATAAAATGAGGTTTGATTTGGCCCTCGCTGCTACAGAAGCCAGGTAATGTTACTGTTTGTAGAGGGTGACTCTGTGTGAGTTGTGGGCTGGGAGAATGACTGATGAAACGAGGTCAGTCTCATTCCACTTTCCTAGAAGACTCCCCAGCCTCCACCATGGGTTTTCTTTTTAGGAGGGATGGTAGGATTGATTTAGTACGCATAGTTATGTTATATGAGGAAAATACATCCCTTTCTCTTTCACAGCTGTCAGATAGGTCCCCAGAGTAAAGACAGAATCCCTGATTCTTTGAGTTAATGTCTGAAGGTAATATTAGAAATTATTTCAGCTCGATTTTGGAAGGACATGTACATGTGGCAGTTTAAGGTAATTAAGAGCATCAGTTTATGTTAATTAAGTTAATTTTGCTTAGATCTCTGCTAATCATGTTTCCAAATTCTTAGAAAAGAATTCTTAGAAAATTCTTAGAAAAGAAAGGAAAACAGCTGTTGTAAGTTTTTCAGCAAAGTGTACAGTACTAATTGCATTTATGTTTCTTGGAATCTCATAAATAAACTGAAATTATGTTTTAGGCAATGCTCTGACTTACTGAGTCAGGCCCAGTACCACGTGGCCCGTGCACGCAAACAAGACGAAGAAGAACGGGAATTGCGAGCCAAACAAGAGCAAGAAAAAGAGCTGTTGAGGCAGAAACTCCTTAAAGAACAGGAAGAGAAACGTCTGCGAGAAAAGGAAGCGCAGAAAAAACTCTCGGAACAGCGGGCCCAGTATGTGGAGAAGACAAAAAATATTCTTCTGTTTACTGGCAAGACTGAAGCAACAAAAGCGAAAAAAAGAGGTGGTGGCGGCGGCCGGGTACGATGTGCTTCCTGCTGTCATTGATGACACCATTCTGCATCCCATGGCTTTCAGAGAGAAGCTTCTCTGCTTAAACTCTTGAAGTTAAACTCGCTTAGTACTTAGTCCTTAGCTTTGACTTCCTCCTCTGCAAGGAGACAGTTTCCAACAGAGAAAATCATTTAAATAGGGTCTTAAATCATTGCCAGTGAGTCAAATCCCATTCATAGCTGACACTCCATTTCTGAAGCTGTAACTTTCATGAGAGGAGAATGCCCATCTTTCTCTCTCACAGCTGCTGCTGGATTTGAACCTCCAGCCTTTGAGAGAGCAATTCCATTTTCTGTACATTAGGTCCCAGAGCTCCCTAAATAGTATCTGGTAATCAGAAATGAATTCCAGTGTTAACAAAGTGCGTTTTATTTATCTTGACCTCTTAAGTAGTTGAAGATTTTTGCAAAGTTTTAGTCAATTAGGACATTAATTCCAGTAAGAATTCTTTATAATATGACCCTAGCCCAGCACTTTTTCCACGTGACTTAAAGGACCTTTGTTTATAAGATGGCCTCTTCCTGTCCCTCAGTACTCGAGCCATTTTCATCCCACTCCTCAAGAAATCACTGTGGTCTTGATTTCAGCGTTCTAAAAAGGGAGGAGAATTTGAAGAATTTGTCAATGATGACACAGATGATGAGCTGCCTATGTCCAAAAAGAAGAAGAGAAGGAAGGGCAGTGGCAGTGAGCACGAAGGTGAAGAGGAAGAAGGTGGTGAGAGGAAAAAGAAGAAGAGGAGAAGGTATTACTGTGATTAATGTGTTTTACATATTATTTCATCACTCATCCATCAGCGTGTCATGCTGTGATAACTGTGTGATGCAGGACACTACGCCACCAGTATTTCAAATGCTTGCAGGGCCACCATGGGCAGATTTCAGCAGAACCTCCCGGCTAAGAAGCAGGACTAGCCTTCCATTTCTGAAATAATAGGCCCGCAAAAACCTTGTGACTAGCAGTGTAATATTGCGCCATTCAGTGCCAGAAGATGAGCCCCTCAAGTTGGAAGGCACTCAAAATACAGCTGGGGAGGGGTTGGCTCTTGGAAGTAGTTGTGGGGCTGTTAGGTTCTGTTGAATTGATTGCAGCTCATGGCAGCCCTGTGAGCAAAAGCGTGAACCCTAACCTGTCTTTCACCATCTTCACAATCTCCGCTGTGCATGAGTCCATTTGTTGTAGTCACTGTGGTGCCCACCTTGTTTTGAGGGTCGTCTTCTCTTTTGCTGACTTTCCACTTTTCCCGGGATAATGTCTTTTTTCCAAAGGCAGGCTGTGTGCCTCCCAACAGCAAGCCACAGTATAGTAGGCAGAGTCTTACCATCTTTGTCTATGAGGAGCCCCCTTCCTCCAACTTAGATTTGTTTTTATGGCAATCCATGTATAATCAATACTCTTAGCCAACACAATTCAGAGACATCAATTCTTCTTCCATCTTCCTTATTCATTTGACTTTGACATACACTTACGAGTCTGTCTTAATGAATTGGATGGAGTAAAGCTTTCAGCCAGTAAAGGGCCTTCATTTGCTGATATGGCATGACAGAAATAAGGAGTAATGGCTGCAAACATCCCTGAAAAACTCGAATGTGGGATTTATGAAATATGAATCGACATTGGAATAAGTGGAGCTAGAGTGCAAGGATGGTGAGACTTTGTCTCCCATGCTTTGGGCATGTTGTCAGGAGGGTTTAGTTCCTGGGAAAGGTCCTCCTTGGAAAGATCAGAGGAGAGGAAAACCCTCAGTAAGATGGATTAATACAGTGACCGCAACAGTTTCTGAGCAGAACAGGGTTTATGAGGATGGCATAGGATTGGACAAGGTTTATGTCTATTGTATATATGGTCAAAATGAGCCAGCGTCATCTTGATGGCACCAAACAACCTGAAAAGGGTAAAAGACCTCTCATTTTCTGAATCCTTTTAATAGCCTAGTATCCACATAATGTCCTTTTGACAGTGACTAGGGATGTTAGAAGGAGAATTGATGCCTTTGAGCTGTGGTGTTGTAGAAGAGTATAGAATATATCATGGAGTGCTAAAAACCAAACAGGTTCGTCCTAGAGGGTTAAACCAGGCTGCTCCTTGGAGGCAAGGATTCTGAGGCTTCGTCTGACATACTTTGGACATGTTGTAAGGAGGGACAGGTCCTTGGAGAGGGACATCATGCTTGGGAGGGTGGAGGGACAGCACAGGAGAGGAAGACCCTCGATGAGGTAGATTGATTCAGTGACTGGGGTAGTCGGAGTAGGTGTATCAGCAACAGATTGGTACAGGATAGAGCAGGGTGTAGGGCTGTTGTACATAGGGTCACTATGAGTTGCAGGTGACTTAACGTCACATAAAAACAACTGTAATCTTAAGAGAAATCCTTTTATAAAACATCAGAGTATTTGGAATCTACAGATCTTCCGTTTCCTCCTGAGAGCTACTAGTGATTAGCCATTGCCTTTCTTGTGTCCAGTACTTAATATTATGGTGTTTAGAATGAAAAATCCTGTATTTGTGTCCATACTAACTATGAATACAATCATACAGTGAGTCTCAGTCTCCTTTTCTGTAACACAGAAGTAATGGTGCCCACCTCATGGTATATAAAATGTGAATGTGTGTGCCTTTCAGACCACACAGACTCTGCTGTTAAGATCAAGTGTGCCTTGCCCCTCTAACTGGGAGGGGCCTCTTCTGAGCTATCCTGTTGTCCCCCTGATGCTGACGACCAGATAATCCTATCCAGACCACACTTCCTAACTGTACAGGAACTGAACAGCTTACTGTATTTAGAGAGAAGCCAGGGAACCTATTCAGTGCAGACCTTTGAGAATGAAGCTGTGCTGAAGACCTTAGGAGGAGGCCTGGACTGGAGGAAGAGAAGAAAGATGATGGGGTCTGAGACCGGGGTCTTTTCTGACATCCTGTGTCATACTTCCCCTTGGGTGGAAGATTCAAGCTTAGATTAATACAAGGTCTTAATAGTAGTTAAATTAGTGAATAAGCATTGCATGTGGTCTTAGGTAGTGAACCATGTGCAACAAAAAGTAAATTGTGGCATTTGCCCTTTGGGAATGTGGCGTGCAAACATGGTATTCTGAAAAAGAAAATTGATGGTGAAACGGGTCTTAGACTTACTAGGCGTGAGTAGATATTGGCAAATTCTTTTGTGTTTTCTTTTTAAGACCTACAAAGGGAGAGGAAGGGTCTGATGATGGTGATGAAACAGAAAATGGCCCGAGACCGAAAAAGCGTCGCCCACCAAAAGCAGAGAAGAAAAAGGCTGTAAGTTTATAGTACCATCTTTCTGTCCTGCCATTGGCATAAAAGATTGCCCTGCTCCTGGAGTCTAGTTTTTCTTATCAGCTTCCTCAAGCACAAATGCTAATTTTCAAAGTTAACTGGTTGCCATTTGATTGTAATGTTATAATGGTAGTTGTTTTAACAAGATGTAAAAATGTACAAGTCTTGACTAATCTATTATTATGTTTAACTCTCTTTAGCCCAAGCCAGAACGTCTGCCTCCTTCAATGAAGGGAAAAATAAAATCCAAAGCCATAATATCATCAAGTGATGATTCTTCAGATGAAGATAAACTTAAAATTGCTGATGAAGGGTATGAATTCTTCCCCTAGTAAACTACTTTCTTCTAATGATGTGGTTAAATCAAATGTAGTTAACCAACCTGTGCTAGAAGGAAAAGACACTTTTTTTTTTAAAAAAAGAAGTGAAACAGACTTGGAAATTAGAGGAAATCAGTAAGTGTTCATGTCCCACAGAATCTCTCTCCAGCTTCATGGAGTCTTAGACCTAGAAGAAACATGTCACAGATGTTCATTCTAACCCTGACATTGTTGTCCTCCTACATACTTAATCCTTGAAAGAGAAGACCTATTTGGAAATCTCATGTCTTCATAGGTATTAGTTAGTCATGACGGAGGGGACAAGTGTCAGGATAGATGCTAGTAATAGTCTCACTTCTTCACACGTGGCAGCAGGGCAGGGAAGCATCCTGCCCCTCCAGCCTCGGGAAAGACAACCAAGTGAGGTGCTGGATTCCACTTGTATTGTTGTTGGGTTGGTTTTTTCATGAAAATGAACAGATGTGTCCCTTTCCCTTAAGTTCACAGGTGAGATTGGGAAACATTTCATTCTGATAAACATCCTGGCTGAAACCTGTCAAAGTCTCCCACCATTGTTTATATTCTGTCTTACAGTTCAAGTGCATTATTTTTTTTCCCTTTTAGTCCTTTTCTTTAATCCATGTTTATTTGCGTTGTTGTTGTTGTTGTTGAGGCTGTACATAGCAGAACCTGCCCCGTTTCCACGGCCTCTGCATGGTCAGTGACACTGCTTGTATGTTCCTCCCCTATTAACATAAACTCACTGCCCCCAAGCTTCCTAGCTAATATTAATTTTGGATTGCTGTTATCAGTATGCCATATAGATAATTTTTAAAAGAGCATAATGTTCTGGGCATACATTTTTAAACTATAATTTGTCTTTATTTCCTCAGGGGGTTTGGGGTAAGATTTTTAAAGGAGTGCAATAGTCCAGGGATTCCTCCAGTTTTCTGAGCTCCAGAAACTCTGGAGTCCGTGAGAGTCTGAAATTCTCTTCTATATTCCCACCCTCCTTTGGTCAGGCTTCTTGCCTGGAATCTTTGATTAAAATGTCCAGGCTTGGTCGCCAGGCCCGTGCAGCTCCTGTCTCCTGGCAGAGGAGGCCTGACTAGGGCTGCAGTGAGCTCCACCTCCGTGCCCGCAAGGAGAGACCAGCGTTGTGGCCTGTTTCTCTTTTATTGTGCAATACGTTACATTCATAGAAAGTTGGATTAAACAGATGGCACAGCAGGAACTGTGTGGGCACCGACCTCCCCACGTCTAACCAGAGCCTGTCTCCGCAGGCACCCCCGGCACAGCAACAGCAACAGCGACTCGGCCGAGGCGGAGGAGCGGAAGGCGCGCGCCTCCTCGGGGAGTGAGTCCGACGACAATGCCGACAAGTCGGCCAGCGAGGCGGGCAGCCCGCGCAGGCCCCGCCGCCCGCGCTCCGACGACTCGGACGACTCGGACAGCGACCAGCCGCCGCCCAAGAGAAGGCCCTCGGGCTCCGAGCAGTCGGACAACGAGTCCGTGCAGTCCGGGAGGAGCCACTCGGCTGCGTCTGACAACGACTCGCGGCCCGCCTCGCCCAGCGCCTACTCGGAGCACGACTCGGATCGCGGCTCCGACAACGAGGGCTCCGGCCACGGCTCCGGCAACGACTCGGAGCCCGAGGGCTCGGCCAACGAGGCCTCCGAGCGCGGCTCCGAGCGGGGCTCCGACAGCGACTAGTGCCGGTGCGCCAGTGCGAGGCGGCTTCATCGCGGGAGGAACAGGAATAGTGAAAGCTGTGATAAAATGTTTCCGATGTTTAGGCAAAACAATTGTGAAATTTTTCCCAAGGGCAGTTTTCCTTTTTTTATTATTATTATTCTGTCCGTTTGTATATGGCTAAGCCCCAAGAAACATTTCCTGTGTTAGAGTCCCGTTTTTGAGACTGGTGCAAATGAGACTATTCATTGTGGTACAGTTCTGCCGATCATATGTGAAAGCTTTGTTAAAACCCAGACGCGCGATCATTCCTACAGCGAGGTTTGACCCAAATGTCTCATTTTTGTTTTATGTTAAACAGCAAAGTGTTAAGACTTTTATTTCGATCTTCTGCAAGTGGTACAAGAAACTTGGTGTTGATTTTGTTGCATTTTGAGTATAGATTGAGAAAGTTTATTTTCTGGAGGAGGAGGTATCTACTGTATAATTGTCTCACAGACAAATGACAGGATGGTTTTCTTCAGTAGTTACCACTGCAGCCATGTAGATAAAATAAAAAGGCTAATTTGTTAAGTTGGATATGATGTGAAAGAAGGCTTTTCTGTTGGTGAACTGGAAGAAGACCTACCTACTCCACATAATAAATTTCCTTTATCAACTTTCATGGGTAACTTTGTGTCCTTTGTTGTTGAAGATATATTTGTAAATTAAAAAAAAATTAACTATGTAAATCTTTGAAAGAATTCCTTGAGGCCAAGAGTTACTTAGTCACACATTAGTGAATAGTTATTGATTGGAGGGAGGAGGTGTGTCTAAGATGTAAGAAAACTAAGATTCTGTTAGAATAATGTCATTTTTAGATGACACTATACAGTTTGCCAAGAGTTTTAATATAATAAACAAACATGTTAAACTACTAGCTTTGAAGGAAGAGTGGCGTCCACTTCCTAATAGCTTGCCTCCAGAAACCCTATGAACCTGGAGAGAGGATGAAAGAACCCAAGTTTCGAGGACTGTCCTTCATAGGGTCACTGAGTCCCCTGCAACTCGATGACACTTAACAACAACAACACGTTAAACTACTGTATTAGGCAATGAGAATTCAGAAATAACTGCCTTTCCCTGTCTTCAAAAACCTTTCCGACTAATAGAGAAGATAGATGCACTGCCCTTGTGTGAGAAAGGAGCCCCAGTGGTTCGGTACTTGAGCACTGCTGCAAACAGAATGGTTGACAGTTCAAACCTGCCAGATACAGCAGTCTGCTCCTGTTTGCAAGCTTGTTTTAATCAGGGAGCTCCACCAAATACTGTCCACCATGGGTAGCCACAAATTACCTCTATACAGCAAGTGGACAGACCAGGGCTATATGACCTAGAAGAATATTTCACCAAAAACAAAGACAGGCCTGAGGACCACGGATTAGAGTCGCCACCTTTGGCTTGGTAGCATCACTTTCTGTCCATTAGGCCAACTGATCTCTCTTCTATGCTGCTGTTGTTAAGTGCCATTGAGTCATAGGCTATAAAAACTACAGCCTTGGAAATCTTACTTTTAAAAAAACAGTTAAAACAACTAAGGTACTAAGTGAAAAGTTAGGGTAAAGTTGAGGGTCATTCAAAAAGAGGACCACCAAGCTAGACTGGCACAGCGGGTGTAAGGGCAGGCCCTGTGAGGACGGCGCAGGTCGAGGCAAGATTCAGCCTTTTCTATGAGGCGCCTGACAACACATTTTGAAACTGGACGTGTCAAAATTAGAAAATATGATTTGCATTATCTGTGATGGTTTATCCAGAACCTGGCCAAGCACCAAAACTATAAAGTTACCAAATTTAAAATTTTGTGTGCATGAAAAGTAACTTTTTGTATTCGGAATCTTAAACTTGATCCTTTTCACTTGGCTGGAATTACTATTTTTATAATAATGTGATGTTTGCTAAGTGGGCAATTGTTCCTTTACAGTAAAAGACTATACCTCCAGAGTGTTAAGGAGCAACAGTGGCAGTCCAGAGACTAAGGTGTGCCTTAACCCAAGCCATGGTCTTACTTGCTCTGCCTCTGAGAGCAGGACAATGACTAAGGATGACAGAAGAAGAATTGATGCCTTTGAGTTGTGGTGCTGGAGAAGTGTACATGCCATGGACTGCCAAGGGAACAAATAGGTCTGTTTTGGAGGGGATGAAACCAAGTTACCTTGGAGGCAAGGATTCTGAAGCTCCATCTCATATACTTTGGGCATGTTGCCAGGAGAGACCAGTCCTTGGAGAAGGATGTCATTTGTCAGAAGGGTGGAGGGTCAGCACAGGAGAAAACAACCCTGGAGGAGGTAGATTGACAAAATAGCTGTGACAATGGGGACAGGTATGTCAGAGAAGTGAGACTGACTCAGGATAGGGCAGGGTTCAGAGCTATTAGGTTCACTATGAGTCGTCAACTTGATAGCACATAACTCATAAGATTATGAAGATTAAGGTACATGGAAGAAATACACACATGGTAAATTTGAGGCGGGGTGGGGGACATGTAGTGGAACAAGGAGGGCAAGGTACAGAAAGCTTAAAACATTGTGGCCAGGTGACGCCTGGCACCCTTGAAGTCTGCACTGAAAAGCTCCCATGTACACCTGACTCCTCTTTTCCTCGTTACCACACCAAAGACTCAAAGCATGTCCACTAGTAATGAAGGGAATGCTAGGTCTTGCCTACCTGTTGGGCTTAAATTGAACAGGTTTAAAGGCAAGAAATGGGAATCTCACTATCATAAAGAGAGGACGAGAGGAATGTGGGGCTTGCCCATTTGGACCAGAGATTCCTACACAGGACAGACTGGGACAGAAACTAGCAGCAGAAGTGGTGAGGAATCAGAGATCAGGTGAGATAACGCTGATCTGGAACCGCCACCCCATGGGGAGAGTAAGGGTGTCCTCATCCTGGCTCACAGGAAGGCTGGGGGAAGACACCAGAATTGGCAAGACAAAAAAGAGCTAGATAACGCCCTGCCTGAAGAATGGTAACCTGTTAGTTCCCTAGTAAAGCCCATAATCATGTGTAAGAAGAAACTGGAACATGAAAAGTACAGCTTAAAATGGTTACCTTTTTCACTATAATCAAGGGAGTAAAAACTGTATCTTAGAGTGGCCTGAGACAAAAGCCAGAGACTTCAGTTCATAAGCACAGGAATTTGCTGTTCTTAGGAGCCATGGAGTCAGCTACTACTCATAGTGGTTCTGTGACAATGCGTCTGAACTTGGCCCCATCCTGGGCCTCCTTATCTCTTGACATGCTTGAGCCCACTGTTAGAGTCAGTGTGACAAGCCATCTCCTTGAGGGTCTTCCTCTCTTCCACTGATGGTCCACCTTTTTAAGCATGATGTCCCTTGCCAAGGACTAGTCCCTGACTTATGTCAAGGAGACAGTTAAGGGTGGAGAAGTGAAGATGAAAATGCAGTGATGTAAGATGAAACGAACATGTTTTAAAGGTTTATGTGTTTATCTGAATGTACTTGATATTGAATATTTCTGTGTAGTGTTGTTAAATGAATGTTAATGTGTGTGTTTCTCAGAATATGCTTGCTGTGCAGTGGTATAGTATATAGAAATCAATAGTGGGTGTTAGAGGTTACAAAAGCATGCAAATCAACCTTCAGGCAGTACTTGACGAGGTATCTTAAAAGAAGAGGGACGGTTTGCCCAAGGAAGATGCAAGTTTAGTTGAAAGCTCTAAAGCGTGGGGACTTGAGTTCTACTTAGTACCCCTGAGTTTGAAATCTGTGTTTGAATGGACATGTACACCCATGGAGAGTTAAGAGGTTTCAAATTGGAGCATGTACACGGTGGCCTGTAAAATCAGTGCTCCCATCTCGGACTGGAAGCTAAAGGGAGCTGTGAGCAGGCAGCTTGTGGTGACTGCCTGGGTCCTCTTCACAAGTGGAAGGGGGGCTTACAGCACTAAAGGTGGGTGATGAGCTAGGATGTATTCCTCTGGCAACCATTGATCTTGCCCACACAGGCGGTACAAGGAAGAGGGCTGACTGGTTTAATGTGCAAAGAGTTGTGAGGACTCAGGCCTGTTGTCTTAGCCCACGTGGGAGGCTAAAGCTGAGAGTAAGGGTACCTGCCAGTCTGACATGCTGGAAGACATGTGGATCCCTGAGTTTGCATCTGGTGCCCATGGCTAGGGATGAGTTGACCAGACACAATGCAGTAAATTAGTGCAAACTGCTGAACTCGTGGTTTAATCTGGACTCGACTTGGTTTATAAATGCAGATGCTCAAAATTCAACTGGAATAGATCTTTTAAAGAAAGGAACATGTTGGAGGGAGCTCTGGTGGCCTAGTGGCAGGAAGCTGCACTGCAATCCCAGAGGCGCACAGTTCAAATCCACCAGATGCTCTGTTGGAGAAGGAGGGACAATTTCCTCCTATACCAGTCAAATCCAATTTGACAGTACACACACAAAAATAATAAAATCTTAAAAAAATTATATAAAAAAAGGAACATGTTTTGTCTCCTCAGAGTATCAGTTTGACAGGGATGGGCCAATTTGAAATTGACCAAAACAAGAGTTAATATTAGCAAAATGATTGTGAGTGGGATGTTAACCCTTCCAAATACACAGGCTCATGACTAGTAAAGCTGGGGTGTGGCTTATGGTGAAATACTACATTTTTGGTGAGAAAATGGTAACTACTTAAAACCAAATTGTTTTCTCTCTAAATAAACTCCTTGCTTATATGACAGATTTTGTCTTTCACTCTTATTCTTGCTAATGCAAGAAAGGAGCCTCGGATTAGAGGGTGATCCTGCCATAGTGCAGAATTAGTTCTGAACACCAGGCACTGAGCGTCTGTCTCCATAATCCTGGTTTTGATCAAATAGGGACTGAGTCAATGACTCTTTCATCAGTCACCTTTTGAAAAAATTCTTGCTTCTTCCTAGTTTCTTTCAAGCCAAATATTTTTAATCTCCAGGAAATACAACTTTCCTGGAGTTCCTAAAGTACCTTTTGTTTTGGTTCCACTAA